TTTTCTAACACCTGGGTCCCACATGTTTTTTATCTCTACAACATGAGAATTGAATTCTCATTTAACATGAGAAAATCAAACCTCATATATATATATATATATATATATATATATATATATATATATATATATATATATACACTATTGAATTGATTCACACATGATCCATTATCATCAAATCTCTAATTAAACTGCTAAATTCCATAATTACTCACTTGAGACTCATCACATCAAACCATCGTCATCAAAACTTCTGCCTAGCTACCATATTCATAGTCATCACGCGTGCAAATGGTGCAATAGAGAACACCATCGTCATGGAATACTATCATGAGATTCGTAACTCTAGAGATAAGCCATCAACAACAAGCATTAACGTCACCCATCACGCCTTAAATTCATCCCTGCATATCATTGAATATTACTAACTCCCACAAGTCCACAAAAATTTCCTTGCCCTTTATCTCTACCTCAAAACCCATAGAACTCCTATCACTCAACTCAGAATAAGATCATTGTAAAAACCAAGGTAATCGATTATAGGTTGATGAGCCGCTGTGAAAGTTGAGTTGAAGAAAATTGTATGCAGGAGTAAAGTGTTTTGAGTGGTATGTTATTAAATGATAAAGAAGTTCAAAATTAAATATATCATTCCAACTAATTAAATATAGTAATTTTTCTAGTCTAATGTCTAACTTGTAATGCTTATACTTCGTATATCATGTAAGTAGATAATTATAACTTTTAACAAGGATGTAATAGAAGAATCATATGAATTTTTTTTGAATGAATTGCCCGTTAAGTTTTAAAAATGAAAGACCAAAACTTAAAGCTAGGGCTAATAGACTTTCATGTTGCAGGAATTTGAAGTTCTCATGTAAACTATGCATTCCAGAGAGTATATAGTTAGAATATTAAAAAAAAATTATATCCCTTCTAACTATATATTTTGGAGAATACATAATTATAATATTAAAAAAAAAAATTATATTATAAATACGTATTCTGTGGGAGTATATAATTTGTAGAAGAATTTTAAATTCCTGCGACAGGAGAAAAAAGGGACCCAAACTTAAAATGCTATATTTGAAGAGACAAAAAAAAAAAAAAAATTTAAATGTAAACTTGAAAAGGAAAGTTATGAACAATCAAGAAGTAACAGCTGATAGTAGTCCTTTTCAAATCAAAATTATGAATTCAACCCAAGAGATAAAAAGTATTTGTTCCTCATTAAAAATCTCGAGTTAGAACTTTCGAGCAAAGAAAATGATTTTGAGGGAGTTACTCCTTATATGAATCCCACCGTACTCAAATCAAATTAATTGAATAATCAATAAACTGATAAAAAAAAAAGTACATGAATAAATGTGAAAAGATAATATCCAAAAAAATAAATAAATGTGAAAAAGTATAAAGCAATAATATGATTCTGATAATTAACGATTTGCATATATCGTGTGGACTAGCCTAATACATATTTGACTCATTGCCGTTTTTCATTAAATAATTATATATGTATATGTGTTAAACAATTGTTTTATACAAAATAAAATAAAATAATGAAATATACATTATTTATTAATGTAATATACACAACCAATGTACGTAGACATTCTCTACACAAGAATATGCACTGGACATGGGTTGGAATTAATTAAATGGTTGAAGGGATTGGCATAAACCATAAATGGTTGAATTCAAGGAGCCAGCTTCTCTTTTTCCCACTGTTTTGCATTAACTCAGCTTCATATCTATCCATTAAATGAGGTTGACAGACACAGTTACATGCCTTAAAGATGGACCATGTGAACGACTCGTATCATCAACAGTTACAGTGCCACTGCTGCTATACTTTTTCTGAATCGGTTGATTAATATTCGATTAATTCATATTCAAGTATTCAACTATGTTTGAGCTGGTTCTTTCAAAATTAATTTTTTTCATTAATTGAGTTTGAATTCAAAATATATAATTAAAGAAAATAAATTCATTATTACTTAATTCAATAATATTGGTTACCATACCTTTTTATACTTTCCTCTTGTTTTTTTCTTAAGACTATTTTTCTCCAATTGATATTCCCATTATTTTTTCCTTTCCATTTTTGGTGCAAACCATTATTTTTCCCTTACATTTCACTGACGTAGGCATTACAACATTTATCTTTTTATAGCATATTCAAAGTTTTCATTTGAAAGTTTTAAATTATGATCTGGACTAAAAAAAGTATTTTTTTTTTGTAATTTTTATTTAAATCATGATTTTGAAGTTTTAAATAAGAAATTAAATACGATTTTAGTAATTGAGTACATAAATATGAATTTTGTATGGAAGGGTATATTTCAATTGAGACCAAGTCATTTTTTAAAAATATTTTTAAAGGTATATTTCTCACATTTACTTGATTTTTTTTTTATAAAAAAAATCTTATATTTTGGCTCATGATGTTATCAATGTATGAAAACTACGTTCTTAGTCGCTAGAGTGACTAAACCAATCTTTCAATTGGTGAATGCATTTATTGTCACAAAAAAAAAGAATATAACTGTATAATACATTCAAATTTTTAGAATAATAATCTTAATTAGTATCTACTTGGAAGATATTTTTCTTAGCTTCTCTTCTTTTTATAATCAAAAGCTAGGCCAAATAGCTTTTTATAAAAGTTCTTACAGTAAGAAGATGTTCGGTCCTAAAGAACCGTATTGCTATATCGTATGATATGCATGTGCTTAGAGGTATCCTAGAGATAAGTATCTAGATTGGCTTATAGCCAATACTCCAATCACTGCGCACAAGCAATAGGCTTATAGCCAAGACGTGGGTATGTGCATAGTGTTGGCAGCAATAATAAATAGATCAAAAGTGTGTACCTGAGGTCTTTAACCTCTTATTTATAAGGGTTACCTCTTGGGCTTATGTAGATCTCCCAGTTGTAATATGATTCAACTTTCTTTCTGTTGGATAGGAACTGTATCCTTAGCAGCCTTACTGTTTTATATTGTTAGGATAATTGTGTAATTATCCTTTAAGGGATCCTTGAGTAAGTAGTTAGGATATGAAAATATTCCATAAGAGAAGAGTTTTTTTTTTTATAATGAAAATTAAAACATAAGTCATAAGTTCTAGGAAGAATTTTTTTTTTTTGAGTTGTATAAGCTTTTTATTGAAAAAAACAGCTCTTTTGAAAAATAATTTTTAAGTAACTTTTAAACTAAAACTTTTATATAATTCTCAAATAGTTTAAAATTTTATTTTTAAAGCTCCTTTTTTTAGCTTTAACTTAAAAGTATCTTTTAACTTAAAAACAAAATGATATCAAACACTCTTAAAGTAAATTTATGTGAAAAAGTTGAAGGTACACAGAGTATTCATACAATTTTTAAACAAAATGCATGAAAGCTTAAAAATATGTTTGGACTACAAATAATCATGAGTAAAAGAGCTATTCATCAACAAGTATGATATATATTAATAAAAATCTTCATATTATTTTTATAACTTACTTTTTCAAGTACAACAAAAAGGAAACACATCCACACCAAAAAGAAAAAGGAAACATATCACAATACAATGTGTGCTTTTCTATTTTATTACATACAAACAATTATATATTAAAAAAAAATTAAATGAGTAAATAATATGTAACGAAACAAGCAACCTTAACATTTTCGTACGGGTTTCCCAAATGAAAATTAGTACTGCACGGTACCGTTATGTGATAAGCCTTACCAACTTGAGTTCGGCCTTACGGAGGAGAGGATTTTTTATTTTTTTTTGGAAATAAGGAGGAGAGGATTTTCAGTACAATAATAGTACATACTTCTTCACTGGAAAAAGAAAAATATGGAATATAAATGAAAATAACCATAAAGGTGTGAGTAGTATAAAAATGTTATTTTTTTATCATATTTGATAAATGATATACTGAGTATTCGATATAATGGGAGTACTAAAAATATTTTCCTTAATGAGAGCCTTAGTTAATATTGATGTTTTAAAACTCGGATCGGTTATTGACTCAATCGAAGTATTGAGTTAACGGGTTATTAATCCAACTAATAGGTCACTGAGTAGGATTGATCTAGTAATAACTTTTGTTTGTGTTTAGCCTCTTACCTTAGGTTCAATCCCTTTCGTTGGCAAGTGTGAAATATTTTGCATAAATAAGCCAAAATCGTGTTTGATCCGGTCGGTCCGATTCAAGTTTTAAAAGACCGGCTAATACCATTATACTACCACCGTCTGAGTTTGGAAAAATCTTCAATGCATAAGATGTATGGTACATCCCTCCAAAAAAATGAAACATTTTAGAACTTAAATGGTAATATAAATTAAAAGCTGGATTTAAATGAATTTTTTTCCCCACTTTTAAAAAAAAGGAGTATCCACTGCACTCAAGATTTGTTCATAGGCTTGCTACCAATTTTTTTTTAAAATTATTTAGCATTCGATTGTCAACAAGTACCAATTATTTTAGATTCAAGCCGGAGATCATAATAACGACAAAACTCTTCTTATTAAATTTTTATATTATTAAAAAATATAATATAAAAATATTGAAAATGCATCACTTACAAACTTAAATTGTTAAGTGAAATCCGTAATCACAGGGTAACATATTCAATTCTCTCTGTCTGACTTTCTAACGAAATTAAGAAAGCAGTTGCTACCAAGTTTTTTGATATATATAGCTGAAGAAAGCTCGTTTTTTTTTTTATTATTATTATTAATAAGGATAAATTAGCCAATGTTCCTTTAAACATCGTGTGCTATTAGAAAAGCCTCCTTCATTTTATTAAAATACTAAAAAATAAAGTAAAAATAAAGAGACGTACTGTTGTTTTAAACATTTTTGTTTTGTGAATGAAAAGTGTGATTTTGATTTACACAATACTATTAATTTAGGATTCAAACACTTTAATTAGAAGCATGACATCATTCATATATCTCATAAGTAGAAGTTATATAATATTTATAAAAAAAAAAGACACGTAGGTAGAAAGACAGAGAGTTCCAACTTCCAAAACAAGGGAAAAGGGAAAGAGGTTACTAAGAAAGAACGAATAATAAGTAGAAATAAAAATAATAGAAAAAAGAGTTGGAAGTTGGAACGAACGAAGTGATCATGTGTGGACGTAAGTAACAACCACACAGTGTCCCCTAGTAACCTAGTACTTTAGTATTTTAGTGTTGGTAAGAACGAAGAACAGCTCCACAAAAAGTGCAAACAATGGCTCTCCACGATTTCCAGTAAAAGGGGACATAGCAAAACCTGGTGGCCGTCTTCATCTCCGCCACGCTGGCTCCGCCGCCGCACCGGGAGCATATCCCCGCCGCCGGCTTGCTCCGCTGCACCTCCCGCCGTTGGTCCACCAGAAAACAGAAGCATACCATCCTGCTCGATCCGGCGTCGTTTTTTATGGTGGTGATGATGATGATGAGCTGACAAGTTAGTTGAGGGAGGCAAAGGCACAATGTATTATATAACATAAAGATTGGTTAAAGTTCGATGTTCTTTTGAAGTGAAATGGTTTCGGTATATGTGACCGTCTTAAGATGCTAGTGGGGTGGATACGTGGCGGTCACATGGAATAAATCTTCACTGCTGGTATTGTTGTACTAAGATTCAATGTATCCCACCAATAGAAGTATTATATATCGTAGAAGAGAGAGAAAATTTGACAGAGAACAAAAATTAACTAACATATAATATCTTTATTGATAAGATGTATTGAATTTTTACTACAACAGTAACATCAAAAATTTATTGTGTGACAGGCGTTGTAATAAATAGATAGGGGGCATGCTTGCTGTTGTTGGGTGGGACCTTTTCAATATGTTGGTGGCAGTTGGTAGGTCCTTGTTGATTTTTTTTATTTGACAATTGGTCAATTTGCCTTTGAATCTATTACTTTTGAAAATTATATTACATTTAATTCGTGTTTTATCAATAAGATTGCATAAAGTGACTATATCTTTTTATGGGATTTTTTTTTCAAATAAAAAATTTAATTGAGTGAATTAATTGAATTATAATTTGAAATTTTCGTTGGTTTGAGTTTTAAAACGTTACTTGCAATTTAATTTGAATTATTTTTATGAATTTTCGTATTGAAAATTTTCAAAGTACTGGTTAAATAATTATAAACATTAAATATTAAGTAAAAATAAAATATTTAATATATTAAAAACTTATTTTTTTTCCCGTTCATTATACCTTCTTTTTTTTTGAAAATAATAGAAAATTAAAACAAAAACACAACAAAAAGAAATTAGGCACAAAGCCTAGACCAGTGAACACCTATAGTGTCACCATACAGACTATCAATACAACCTGACGGTGGACAATCAAATTCCTGAATTACCCAAGAGAAACCATAAGAGTAAGAGGCTAGAAAGTCCGCTACTCTATTTCCTTCACGGTGAATGTGAGACATATAAATCTGCCAATCTCGCTGTATCAAATTTCGAATACGATTCACCAAATTAGCCGCAGGGTAATCATGGTGGCACCCATTTGTAATGAGCTGTTGAGCTGAAAGAGAATCTCCTTCGAGCCAAACTTGCCTAAAACCTCTATCCCAAGCTAGCTCCAAACCAACCAAGCAAGCCCATAACTCAGCATGCAAAACTGTACCTGAGCCTAAATTTTTACAGAATCCGACGATCCAAGTTCCTGATGCATCGCGAAAAACTCCTCCACACCCAGTCCTAGTACCATTAGCATCACATGCACCATCAACATTAAGCTTAACCCAATCCACAGGAGGACAACACCAAGCAACCAATCTCTCTATTCGATTCCTTGGTTGATTGCCCGCTCCAAAAACAGGGTTAGCTGCAAGAGCGACACTATCTCTGAAACCAATTGCTGAACGGATAAGTGAATAAGCATTCTGGCGATCACCTTCAAAAACCCAAGAATTCCTACATTTCCAAATTTTCCAGGCTAAGATTCCAAATAAAAGAGGCCAGTCTGACCCCATCCCCCAATCCTTTGAGCTGTCTAAATTAGAAATGATCCAATTGTGCAGGTTGAGGTTGAAAAATTCACGCTGATTTATATGAGGCATTATCATGCACCATACTTCCTTTGATTGTGGACAGTCGCGAATAGTATGAAGGATAGTTTCACTAGACTGATTACATCTAGGACACAGATCTGAAAGAGCCATATGGCGGCGGAGTCTACAAACATTAGTCATCAGCTTCTCCCCTGCCATTAACCAAAGAAAAAAGCGAATTCTTTCTGGCCCCTGCCATCTCCAAACACTTTCCCAAGGAAACTGTTGGATTGTAGTATCTTTGATGGCTAATATTGTATATGCTGACTTAACAGTAAACTTGCCATCTGTCGTTCCATTCCAAATTAAATGATCCTGGCCATCTTGACTAGAAGGAGGAAGAAAATTCATAAATCGATGCAGCACAGAATCTGGAAGCAATTGTCGAAGAGAATTCCATTTCCATTGCCCCAATTCATCCACGTAGTCCACCATCTTCTGAAGAGTATCACTAATAGAAAACTGAGAACCTGCATATGAGATCAAAGGACCACAATCGGGCAGCCAGCTATCAAGCCAGAACATAGTGGACTGACCATTGCCTAACTGCACCCGACTATGATCCATTATAATATTCCAATGACGCGTAATTCTCTTCCAAAGCTGGGAGCTGTTGTTTGGAGCATGAATAATTGGCGTCATGCCTGCCTCCACATTGTACTTAGCACGTAAGAACTTTGACCACAAGGCATCTGGATGAGCTACGAGGTTGAACCCAACCTTCATGATAAATGCTGAGTTCATTTCCCTCATACTCCGCAGTCCAAGGCCTCCATTTTTTTTATCCATGCAAATCTGCTTCCAGGCCACAAGATGAGAACGTCTAGAGTGTGGAGATGAACCCCAAACAAAATTTCGAATCTTCCTATCAATCTCTTCACAGGTGACTTGCGGTAATGAACACACCTGCATTGGATATGATGGGATTGCTAATAACACTGCTTTAGATAATGTAACACGACCTGCTAGAGATAGACTGGCATGATTCCAAGCAGCAATTCTAGAATTCATTCGATCCAAAACATAAGAGAAAGATGACCGACCCACTCGCTTATGATGCAAAGGAATTCCCAAGTATCTTCCAAGATCCGCAGTCAAAGAAAAACCAAGAAGCCCACTAAGATGGTTTGCTTGAGTATGACCCACATTATGAGAAAAGAAAACTCTAGTCTTACTATGATTGACTTTTTGACCAGATAAATCACAAAATATATGTAAGGCCTGTTGAATTATTAACACTTGCTCCTGAGAAGCTTCTGCAAACAAAAGGAGATCGTCAGCAAAAAATAAGTGGGAAATTTGTGGAGCTCCCCTTTTAATCCTCACTGGCTTCCACCTCCTGTGATCCACTGCCTGAGAAATGAGATGGGCTAGTCTTTCCATGCAGAGGACAAAAAGATAAGGAGAAAGAGGATCTCCTTGTCTTAAGCCTCTAGTTGGCCGAAATTCTTTAGTACAAGCCCCATTCCAAAGAACATTCATAGTGCAAGATGAAACACACAACATAATTAGTCTTATCAAATTTTCAGGAAGCCCTACATCATATAGGGTATCCTGAAGGAAATTCCAACTGATCCTATCGTATGCTTTCTCAAGATCAACCTTGATCGCCATCCAACCTTTAGATCCTCTCTTTTTCCTCATTGAATGGATTAGCTCTTGAGCAATTATGACATTATCCGTACCTTGTCTAGCTCTGATAAAACTGCACTGATTAGGCATCACCAGCTTGTCCATCTGCAATTTTAAACGGTTAGCAACAATTTTGTTACCGTTTTATAAATAACATTACACAAGCTAATCAGACGAAAATCCTTGAAAGTATGAGGATTCTCAAGTTTAGGAATCAAGCAAAGAAGAGTCTGATTCACTTCTTCTATACGACTAGGATCATTGAAGACTCCCTTAATGAAATTACAAACAGAGCTCTCCACTACATCCCATTGGCTTTGAAAAAATATGCTATGAAGACCATCAACACCAGGCGCTTTAAAAGGCCCCATTGAGAACACTACTCCTTTAATCTCTTGACTACTAGGGCAGCTCTCAAGAGCCATCATAACTCTCCTTTTCATTTCTGGGAATTTGTTCCTAATGGGAAAATTAGGCCGGAGAGGAATATCTTCCTTATATAAATTATCATAGTATTCCACCGCTTGTTTGTAAGATCTTATTTTGATGCATTGATCAATGATCATTTTGTTGACATGACAACTCAATTTTTTTTTATTCCCTTGAATACGAGTCTATCTTACTTGGGACATTAACTCTTTTGCCAATGTTTTGAGTACTATTTATCTCAATGACACGATTTAATGAAATTATTGCAAAATGCCACGTCATATTCGCGCTACACCCACCACCGAGTCTTGATTGGACAGTGGCAGTGTCTTGCAGGCCACAAATCTCAGCCAGTAGTGTACTAAGATTAGTGGTCAAAGTGGCAGACTGCCATGTCTGCAAAAGGCTATCCATTGGCCAATCTCTCTAGGCTGCCAGTCGAGATTTGGTGTACTTGTTCCACGTGTCAGCACCCTGCGTATCTCTTTGGGCTGTTGATTGAGTTTGGTTGGGATATTGCCACGTGTCAACACCCTGCCTTAACTCATTGGGCTGTTGGCCGAATTTTATTCAGATATTTCCACGTGTCAGCACCCTAGCCTATCTCGCTGGGCTGCTGACCGATTTTCATAGTTCTATATATAGTAACTACACCACCACATTCCTAGCAGCAACAATTCGTTGGAGCTCTTTCAAATATCTCTTTGTTTCTATTTCAGGTCAGATTTTGTAATTGTTTATTTTTGTTGTAGTTTTATGTAATTATATTCAAAATGAGTGAGGGTAATGATTCAGTAATTGTCTTAGTATATTACCATGGAAGAAAATATTTTGGTCATAATGGGCAAGATTTCGAAGGAGATACGAAAATATTTTGTATGAGCCCGCGGTGTAGTTTTAACGAACTGAAGACGACAATATATCAGAAGCTAAGATTACAACGATGGCAAGTTCTATCTCGATTGGCTGCTAGATGTGCCTCGAGACCTGAAAGTTGGGTTCCTGTAGAGATTATTGAGGATGAAGATGTCATTTTAGTAGTAGATGCATTTTGAGATCATCCACACTCCACATTTACTAAACTCTATGTGAAAGTTAACTCCGGTGGATAGTCTAGCAGTCAACATTCTCTCTTTTATGTTCACTCCATCGACATTAATATGGAGCCAGTGGTGAATCCCGAAGACAGGTATGTGTCACCCCAACACACCCCACCCTCACCAATGTATGCAAAAATTGATCTTGCCCACGATATGTATGATCTGGCCTAGCATATTGATAGTTCCGACGAAGAGGTGAATGAAGCCGTTGT